CATGATAAAAAAGGCAGGAAAAATTGAATAGGCTGAAAGGGCCTATTGAAAACTAAATGGTAGCAAAACAAATCCCTTTATACAAGTAAGGCAAGGAATAGAAATCAAAGAAATATGTAACAAATGAAAAATATATATTAAAAGGAACTATAAGAAGTTAAAAGGTATTTTAAAAAAAATCCTGAAGGCAATATTATTAGAACAGACTAATCTGGGAGGCAAGCAGCAAAAAATAGAGGAGTGGGAGGAGTCTGTTTGTATTATATGTTATTGATATACATTCTGATTGGTCTACTTTTTTTTAATCCACATTGTTAACTGTTTCTTTGCTGCTGAGAGGTTGCAGTAAAGAACGATAAGCAAAATATGAAGCTTGCTGTCTTGCCATAGAATCATACGCATTGGGTTCAAATAACCATACAGTTGATATTTCTTTATAAAAAAAACTGTAATTTTGTTAATAGGCAGGGCTTTCATCAGACAATTTGTCAGGCCAACTACCTATATACACATGCCTTGCCACACACAAACAGGTATACCCATACACTCTTCTAAAATACAGATACACATATACACAATGCCTTACATACATAGATACACAATGTTAGATACACTTTCTGTTAAACACACACACAGATTCTCATTATCAGACACATGCACAGATTCCTTGAAGTACAGTGTAGAAATGCACACTCCACTCTTCACAGAAGGTACCAAGTCATGTGTAACCGCAAATCCCAATCATAATAATAATCAGTAGAATAACACACAACACCAAAAATCACTTTTGAAAATACATTAGTGTTGCTGTGTCTTTTTTATTGCTTATGACTGCATGACAATATTTTTGCAAGAGCACGAGAGTAACAAACGTTCAGCCAATCAGTGTGGGCCAGGCTGGAGGAACTTGACATAAATAATGCGGAAGTTTAATTTCCACAATATCAACTGGGCATGGATGGGGGTTGTAACGAAATCCCTGTTTGAACAGACTCAGAGAAACAGCACTTCGTCTGATTATTCATGTGAATGGCTAATTCGTGTAGTTTTTAATAAACCGAACAAACTACCGAACCATCCGACCTCCCACCGAGGTTGTGTACAGCTCATTTACCCCGAGATCTTGCGGTTAACTGCAAAGTAATTGATGAAAGGCTTGGAGGTCCGCGTTCGTTTGCCGAACACGTGGCGGTCGCCATTTTAAAGTCGTCGAACGCTCAGCGGTAGATGGTCGTCGATCCTCTGGAACTATTTTCGGACAATTATTCAGCCGTACACCGCTGACGCGTACCAAGTTTCCGTTCATACGGCTAATAACTCCCGAACCCTTTACCATTCGGGACTTTCCTACTATACAAGATAGACAGACCCCAGGTAGCTGCAGTTATGGAACTCTTTTCGGATTCAATTTCCCGAACAACCGGTGAACTAAAAACTTTACTCGATTATATTGAGAACTGTGTTCGTGGGATCTGAGCGCTATTCGTCTATATTGTGCGCTCAGATCCAAGCTACCTGGGGGTATGTGGAACATAGAGACTACGTTCGGCGAAATATAAGTTATGGATTTTAATACAGTTTGTTAAAATATAAAAAGGACATGTTTTTCTCTACCTGGAGATAATTAGGTTCTCTTCAACCACTTAAGTTAATTATCTCCAGGATAGAGAGGAGGGGTTGCACTGTTACTGTGGGTGTGTTTAATAATTGTACTGTAAACCGATTGGTTCTGTATATTGTGTCACAGTCTTCCACAAGGTCCCCTGTGGGAGTTCCCTTGCTGGGAGACCATCATAAAAGGGCTGAGTTTGGCCATCAATAAACCAGATAGTTTTACCCCTTCATGAAGTCTCGACTCATGTTTGGGGGAATTGGGAGCTGTAATCACTACTTCACTAGTATTCTGCTGGGAATTCGGGAGAAGCTACAGGGATCGGTACTACAGAGTTAATATGATCCTTTACAGGGGTTATCACTGGCACTGAGTAGACCCTTGGTTTATATAATCTTTGTTTAAGTAGTTTGACATTTAACTGAGGGATGGTGCTAGTGCACTCAATGAAGCATAACCAGGTCAGCAAGCTTTAGTGAGTCTTTGCAACATAAAAAAAAATTAAAAAATACATCTACCTAACAACAAGGAAAAAAGCATTGCACATAAAATGTTGGTTTGCTTTTTAAGAGCATACACCCTTATACACAACCAGTCTCCTCACCTGAAAAAGAAGCATATTTTATTACAGAATAAACGTATCTCCCATTAAAAGCATTGCATACATTATATGTAATTTACTGATTTGTGGACATAACACGTGGCCCTACATTACACTAGCATATTTATTGCGGGAGACTAGGATCAAGGTTCAGATTTGCAAGAGCAATATAGTTTTAATATGCTAAGTCACGAAGCATAAACACATTATGAATATGGATATTGTATTATTATGATGTATGAGCATTTTACCAGGGAGTGGCAGAGCCTGTCATTCCAAATAAATGTTCCATGTTTACCTGTGGTTTATTCACTAAACACTCCATTTCAGTACACTAAAAAGGCATAGAATGGTTGCGTTGGAAAGAAATTTGCCCACTTTCTCAATTTTGCTCTTCAAGCAATTTAGCTAATTTAAATTTTCCATTTCACTATACGTTTTGTGAATAAACCCTTTAGATGAAATATATAAACTCTATAGTGAATAAACACATCAGAAACTCTAATTTTCAAAGTTTAACACACAAACAAATAAACCTACTCACTATAGTAAAATGTTAAACTCATGGAAAATTTGTGAATGTGATCCAAAACGGCTAACTGGAAAAACTCACATTGTTTAGAGCCTATAAGTTGGATGTAAACTGTGGAGGCATCAAAAAAAAAACTTGTAGTTACACCTTGCTTCAGGTAAGTGTAGATCCCACCGCTAGCTGGATGTTAACAGCATGAAAATATCAAGAACCAAAATAATAAAGTTAAAAATAACATTTATTAGTGAGTACTTTACAAGTCTAGTAAAGCATAGATATAGCAGCATAATGTGTTTCTACTGTTATACTGTCTTATTCAGGTTCATATGTACATTCAAAAATAAATATAGTATATATACCCTTCCTACTAACACTAATTGGAAACCCCACCCAAATTAAATTGCTAGGAAAAATCCTTTATTCCCCATATAAAAATAGTATGCACTGTAATGACCACCCCGAGTATCAAGGGGTGTATGCCTTTAGAGATGTCCTTTTCCTTTGGGAGGAGCAGTGCTGTAGTATCCTCCAGTTGTCATCTCAGCTGACCAAGTATCCAATAAGGCAGTAGAGCCTTACAAGAACTAGTGATTAGAGTTGAGCAAACACCTGGATGTTCGGGTCCGGCAAGTTCGGCCGAACTTCGGAAAAAAGTCCGGGTTCGGGCTCGAACTTGACCACGAACCACATTGAAGTCAATGGGGACCCGAACTTGTGGGCACAAAAATGGCTCTAAAAAAGTCCTGGAAAGGGCCAGAGGGCTGCAAAAGGAAGTAAAATGCCGGTTAGAGTAGGACAAGTTCCCTGCAAACAAATGTGGATAGGAAAATCACTTAAAATAACATAAAATACTTAAAAATTTAAAATACAGCCATAAAATAGCACTGGATGGAATCTTTGATTTTAGCTTTGGAAGAACATAAATCAAAATCTAAAGCATGGCTGTCAGGAGGATCACCAGAATTATCCATTTGAGAGAGGGTTGGAGTGCAGGGTATTCTCTTTCATTGTTCAAACTGAGCTCAACTCCTGACGCGTGGAGAAAAGGCCTTCATAAGCCTCTGCTATTGTGTACATAGTTTATACTAAGTGACCCATAGGTTGAGGAGGCGGTGACCGTGGCGGTGTAGGTGGAAGCGGTGGTGCAGGAGCAGGAGGTAGCCAACACTGTTTTAAATTTTTATTTTTTTTATTGGGGTAGCCCCCAAAATATTGGGACATATAAAAAAAGAAACATTTGTGGCCTGCGGTGCATTTCTTGCAGTCCAATAATGCCATCAGGTTTTTAAAACTGTCCGTCTCCACCAGACGGAATGACAGCATTTCAAAGGCCAGGAATTTTGAAATGCTGGCATTCAGGGCCAGGGATCGCGGGTGGGTATGGGGGTACTTCCTCTTTCTCTCCAGTGTTTGGGAGATGGACAGGTGGACGCTTCCATGGGACAGTGTGGAGATGCTGGACAATTGTGTACCTGGCCTATGCTGGTGCAGTAACCCACCCTCCGAGCCACTTGTGAATGACTGGCCTGATAACCGTGGAAATGACCCCTCTTCTTCCTCCTCCTCTTCCTCCTGTGCCACATCCTCTTCCATCATCGCCCAAAGCGATTTTTCAAGGAGACATAGAAGCGGGATAGTAAGGCTGAGAACGCGTCAGCGGCACTGGCCATGTTGGTGGAGTCCTCGAAACAGCGCAACATGGCACACAGGTCTCGCATAGAGGCCCACTCATTGGTGGTGAAGTGGTGCTGTTCTACAGAGCGACTGACCCATGCGTGCTGCAGCTGAAACTCCGCTATTGCCTGCTGCTGCTCGCACAGTCTCTCCAGCATGTGCAAGGTGGAGTTCCACCTTGTGGGAACGTCGCATATGAGGCGGTGAGCAGGAAGGCCGAAGCGCATGGGAAGCACAGACAGGCGAGCAGCAGCAGAGTGAGAACGCCAAAAGCGCGCACAGACAGCCCACACTTTCTGCAGCAGCTCTGATATATCTGGGTATACACCGTGGCGGTGTAGGTGGAAGCGGTGGCGGTGGAGGAGGAGGTGGTAGCCAACACTGTTTTTTTTTTAATTGGGGTAGCCCCCAAAATATTGGGACATATAAAAAAAGAAAAAAAAGAATAAGTGCACTTGAGTATAACAATGGCTGGGTGAGGCCGGTATGAATGTCTATTCTCCACAAGGTACAGACAAGTCTGGTGGGATCCATGCGTGGTTCATTTTAATAAACGTGAGCTTGTCCACGTTGGCCATGGACAGGCGGCCGTGCTTGTCTGTGATAACCTCGTGCCGATCGCACGATCCTGTGACGGCGACAACGCATTCGGATGTCTGCCCTATCAACTTTCGATGCAATTTTTCACGCCTACCATGGTGACCACGGGTAACGGGGAATCAGGGTTCGATTCCAGAAAGGGAGCCTGAGAAATGGCTACCACATGTAAGGAAGGCAGCAGGCGCGCAAATTACCCACTCCCAACGCGGGGAGGTAGTGACGACAAATAACAATACACTACTCTTTCGAGGCCCTGTAATTGTAATGAGTTCACTTTAAATCCTTTAACTTGGATCAATTGGAGGGCATGTCTGGTGCAGAGCAACTGACCCGTGCGTGCTGCAGCTGAAACTCAACTATCGCCTGCTGCTGCTCGCTGAAGCTGCATCAGGGTCCTGGTATGTGGCCGCACAAACGCTGGTGCTCAACACCAGGGGGCGTGCGGTTACCCTGCACCAGACCCTGCTAATCCATTCCACACTGTGACTCCTAACTTCAACATAAGGCATACTGGGTCCCGGTCGTCGGACCGCCGCCCAGACAGTGTCTGGGTCCCGGTCACCGGACTGCGAAACTGCAAATGGCTCGTTAAATCTGTTATGGTCCTTTTATCGCTCCATCTGTTACTTGGATAATGGTGGGAATTCAAAAGATAATACATGCCGATGAGCGCTAGGGGATGGCCGCTCCGCTTTTGCACCCTGCTCCCTCTTATGCTGTGCTGATGCTTCTGTGCGACCAGCGCCTCTTCCTCCAAAATGCACACGTCACTCGCATGACCTTCACTCTACGTTGTTTTGGTGTTTGGTTTTTTTATAATTCTTTATTTTTCATTGTGCAGGAGATAACAAGACGGCTTACAGAGCCACAACGGCCCATGCCAGCACATTAATAACATTGTTGTACATTCTTGTGACATTTAAAGTCGTAGCACAAAATTTTTAGTAAGTAGTTATAGTCAAGCTGTATAACACGCAGAATTATAAATCTCAATGATATGAACACGTGGTCGGCACATATTTAGTAGAATAACTGTAGCTTGTCATATATCTAGTTAGACTGTACTTTTAGTATGAGTAACGTTTAGCGGGTCTAGCTAATATTGTAGCCGGTTTAGTGCAGTATCACTAACAGGATTCACATTTGTTCTAGGCTTTACCTTAGTGTCACTGTGTTTGATTAAACATAAACTGATTTTGTAGCTTAAACATATAATAAACCTGCGCTGCTCTGTTCAGTAGTTGTATCGGCACGTCTTTTTTTTATTTTTTATTTTTTTACACGTTCGAGTACTACGGAGTAGGTCAGTAGATTAGTTATTGTGAGTGGTCAGAGCAAGAGGTTTGTAAGAAAGAAATTGACACGACTAGCTTAGAGTAGTACCAAGCTGGATTGAACCTTTTCATAACAGGCTAATATATCTGCCTATGCATGGGTAGTGAACTTACAGATAGCTGGAGCCCTTCTCATCATTAATGCTATTGGTTGGTGGTTACAAAGGCATGTGTATTGGGCTATCGGTGGTTGACCGGTAGTGAGACTAGACTCGGAGAGGCTCAGCATGAGCTTGTTTGGTCCCCAGTGGCGCCCCCCATCCCCGAGAACAGAGTGGAGAGTCAAATTAACTTGCCAGTACACAGTGGTAACTGGGTTTGGGGGTTAGTGAGCGACAGTGGGGCTGGCTTTGCATGTATGATGTACTTACGGCTATGAGGCAGAAGCAGAACAACAAAAAGAAAAACAATTAAACATTTTTAAAGTCAGGGGACACTTTGTTCTTTCGCTGCAGATACAGTCCTGTACTATCTGTGTTTAAACTTGTCCACAGTGTAGGTAAGGATAATAAGTGTGTCCCAGTGGAACTCGAAGCAGGCACCAGGCTCCTGCAGCCGGTTCAAGGTAGTCATCTAGCCGATTCCAGATCTCAGCGCCTGCAGCCGGGTCCCAGGGATCCAATGTACCTCTTGTGTCTGCTTGGCAAACCAAGGGCATTTGCAGGGTGTTCTGTTGGTGCTGACGTGGGTTTCCCCATGCTGTGTCGGCTGTCTGCTCTTATGTGGGTGCAATGCTGAGTTGAGTTGAGTCCAGTCCCCCAGACCTAGGGCGCGGTGTTGTGCGTTCAGGTGTCTGATGCCTGTGCGCAGGCGGGGAGCCTGGGGAGTTTGCTTAGGGCGCTTGTATGAGTGGGACTTCTGTGAGACTAGGTGGTGCTCGGGGTGCCTGGTGTTGGGTGGCATGTGTTGTGTCTCACTTACATGCTGTCGTTTTGCCGCCATGTTATTCAAGGGTGTCTCTCTCTTCACCCTGCTCTCATGGTTCCGCTCACCCCTGTAGGGTAGGGTTTGTGATTTTGCCTGAGGTGTTTGCATCCTTTCCAGCAACTTCGTCCAGAATCGGGCAAAAGTTGCATTTAGACGCTGTTGTATGTCGCCGAAGTCCTCCGGCTCGTGTGTGCAGTGTTGCTTGCTTGGTAGGTTTGCCACCATTTTGGGCACGCCATGTGCTTGGCCGCTTCGTCGCTGCGGTTTCTCAGGCTGCAGGTTCAGTCTTTGTCCGCCTCCCCTGTTGCCCACTGTGGACCGTGATAACCCCCATCGGTCCGTAGGGGGGGGGGTAGGAGTTGGGAGCCCCGAGGGATCCATACTTAGGTCAGTCTGCTTGGAGAGCGGCCGTCTCTCCACAGCTCGACCTCCGGCAGGCCTCAGGTTTGTAGTGCAGGGTCCCGGTGGGTCACACGCTTGGTTTCAGTGTCTAAGGGTTCACCCGGGTGTCCCCGACTCACTAGCTCCACTCTGGTGTGCTTTTGTGCTGTTTTTGGGGGGATTTTCCCCCAATTTGTGTTGATTTGTGCAGGAGCTGAAGCTTGGCACAACCGCTCAGCTTAGCCGCTTGGCTCCGCCCCCCTGGTGTTTGGTTTTTAACTTTGTAGTTGTGTCTTTACACAATATAGAAATGTATATTAATGCTTCTGTATATGAAGCGATCACAATAACACTTATTTTTCACTTTTTAAAAAAGTCTATTGACTTTCTTGAGAAGCGGTAACTAGCCAGTGTTGCACACATACACCAGATATAAAGTGCAGGCACCACTTTTTAGCACCTAAAGTATTTTAATTTTTAAAACTGCAATGTAAGCACAATATTTGACGGTTCTATTTGACTCTCAGATATGAAGTGCAGGCACCAAATTGACTTTTTAGCACATAAAGAATTAGAATTTTTAAAACTGCAATGTAAGCACAATATTTGACGGTTCTATTTGACTCTCAGATATGAACTGCAGGCACCAAATTGACTTTTTAGCACCTAAACAATTCGAATGTTTAAAAATGCGCTGTATTTGAATTTTTTTTATTTTGACTCTCAGATATGAAGTGCAGGCACCAAATTGACTTTTTAGCACCTAAAGCATTTGAATTTTTAAAATACAATGTAAGCACAATATTTGACAGTTCTATTTGACTCTCAGATATGAAGTTCAGGCACCAAATTTACTTTTTAGTACCTAAAGAATTCGAATGTTTAAAAATGCGCTGTAAGCACAGTATTTGACGGTTCTTTTTGACTCTCAGATATGAAGTGCAGGCACTAAATTGACTTTTTAGCACCTAAAGAATTTGAATTTTTAAAACTGCAATGTAAGCACAATATTTGACGGTTCTATTTGACTCTCAGATATGAACTGCAGGCACCAAATTGACTTTTTAGCCCCTAAAGAATTCGAATGTTTAAAAATGCGCTGTAAGCACAGTATTTGATGGTTCTTTTTGACTCTCAGATATGAAGTGCAGGCACCAAATTGACTTTTTAGCACCTAAAGAATTTGAATGTTTAAAAATGCGCTGTAAGCACAGTATTTGACGGTTCTTTTTGACTCTCAGATATGAAGTGCAGGCACCAAATTGAATTTTTTAGCACCTAAAGAATTTGAATTTTTAAAACTGCAATGTAAGCACAATATTTGACGGTTCTACTTGACTCTCAGATATGAAGTGCAGGCACCAAACTGACTTTTTAGCACCTAGAGAATTTTAATTTTTAAAACTGCAATGTAAGCACAATATTTGACGGTTCTATTTGACTCTCAGATATGAACTGCAGGCACCAAATTGACTTTTTAGCACCTAAAGAATTCAAATGTTTAAAGATGCGCTGTAAGCACAGTATTTGACGGTTCTTTTTGACTCTCAGATATGAAGTGCAGGCACCAAATTGAATTTTTAGCACCTAAAGAATTTGAATTTTTAAAACTGCAATGTAAGCACAATATTTGACGCTTCTATATGACTCTCAGATATGAAGTGCAGGCACCAAATGTACTTTTTAGCACCTAAAGAATTAAAAATTTTAAAACTGCAAAGTAAGCACAGTATTTGACGGTTCTATTTGACTCTCAGATATGAAGTGCACCGCAGGCCGCAAATGTACTATTTAGCACCAAAAAGTTAGATTTTTTTTAAACCAACAATGTAACAGTAGTATTTAAGGGTTTTATTGGACTGCAAGAAATGCAGTACGCAAATGTACTATTTAGCACCAAAAAAATTGCAGTATTTAAAAATGTTGCCCACTGAGCTACCAGAACAGGATTAAAGTAATGTGCCTGGCACACATGCAGTTACAAGTGCACTGCACTCTCTGTGGCACTGGGCTCAGTGCAGGGTACAAAAATGTAGTATTATAGCACCCACAAAAATAATCGCTGTAGTTTGAATAATTGCTGTAGTTTGCAGATTCAACACCAGAATTCTTTCCTAATCTGTCCCTAACAGCTGCAGCATCCTCTCCCTACACTAATAAGAGCTCATGTGCGTGCGGCGATACGCGACTCCAGCTTATATATAGAGGCTGGGTCACTTGCTGCACTGGCAAATCACAGCCATGCCATTAGTAGGCATGGCTGTGATGGCTTCTAAGGGCACAAGAGTCAAACGCTTGTTGATTGGCTGCCCTGCAGCCTTTCAAAACGCGCCATTAAATCGCTGAACACCAAACTCCAACCCGAACATACACTGATATGTCCGTGTTCGGGTCCGAGGTCCAAAAAACGTAATGTTCGGTACGAACCCGAACTTTACAGTCCGGGTTCGCTCAAGTCTACTGGTGATATAGTTGTGAAGCAGGTTGCCTACAAGCACGAGACAAGGCTACGTGTTGAGGGTTAAGCAGAACTGAATTTTAATGGCAGCTACACTGGCCTTTTATGCAAGTCCCCAAG